ACTTTAGTTACTTCTATTCAACTATGCCGTACAAATGTGAGTATTAGTCATGTAAATGATTGTGTAACAATAAGATTAGATAAGAACATTATTCCCCATGTTAACATACTTTGGTCTTGAAATTGTATATTGATTTTTGACATTAAAAATAATATGGAATGTTAGTATGATTCCTTCATGTCTAAGTAAGACAGAATCACTGTGAACTAAGAAACAATGGAGACATATTTCGCTATTGTTTGGGTCTCTTCAGCGGTGCCGACACAAGATCCTCCAAGGATCGAACTTAAAACCCCACCAGTCCTAAGAGGATTATACATTGCTCAAGGGTCTCATAACAGGATGAAACAACTGTGAAATGCTCCTAGATGTTGAATAATTCTCAGAATTAAATATCTACCAACTGACACTTAAAACACACTCTCTCTGTATACTTCACTTCCCAATTAAACTTAGTTAGTATAATGCCTAAACTTATTGTCATCTGAATCCTTTCTGTAGTTAAATATTATTTATGATATTTGATGTCAGTTATCAAATGAATGCAGTATGATTGTTTCGCCCGATTTTAGACACATCAGTAGTAGATAATTATAGTAATAGCTTTATTCCAAACAATGCTTATATAATGTATAGAATTTTCATTAGAATATATTGCATGAGATATTATCTCTTCGTCCATAATCTTTAAATATGACATTAATTGACAGTATAGATCGTGTGACACAGTTTTATCTCACCTGAAGCGTGATATCTCTTCATTTTCACTTCTCCATCGAGAAATAAACAACATTTTTGTTGAATTCCAATTATAACAATCTCATGAGTAGACATTTGTAAAAAATTATATTTGTAAATTCTCAGCGAGATTGAAATGAGTAATTCCAACGTTTCGTTCGGCAATCTGGTCCGAACTTCTTCAGGGAAATTAATCGAAATTAACATAACAGAGGTTTTATATAGAAAAGGCACATCACTTGTTTTTATGGAGACGTTAAGAAATGTTTTACAACTGTTTACCCACACACATGCATACAAACTCTGTTTAAAGTGTTTAACAAAGGTAAACCAATATTTGTAAGTCCGAGGTCAAATTTTGATCACAGCTCATAAAATTCTCTTTATTATACTTGTTCATACTTGTTGAATGACTCATGTTTGGGAGAAAAAGTTTTTAAAAACTAGTGATGTTCCTTTCACACATATAAACCTCTGTTATGTTAATTTCGATTAATTTCCCTGAAGAAGTTCGGACTAGATTGCCGAACGAAACGTTGGAATTACTCATTTCAATGTCGCTGAGATTTTACAAATATAACTTTTTTACAAATGTCTACTTCTCACTCGGCGCCCAAATATTTTAGAACTACTCTGTCAAATCTTGACGACAGTTCATTTGAATCTCATGAGTACATTTTGTGAACGAAGGACATCACTCTGAGGAGCGGTCATTTTATGTATTAGGATTATTAAGCTGCCATCCAGTGCCATAATGCATTTTCCCCTCATGTTTCGAAGAGAAACTTGCGAATCACAGTAGGTTGTAAATCTTTTAAATACTCTCCAGAGTAAATAATACTACTACTACAGGTCATATTTTAATAGATTTACGCAATCTGAATAAGAGGAATTATCTGCAATAAATTGACGAAGTGGTTTTTCTGTAGCCCATGTTTTAAGCAGGCCATGCAAATATGGTAAGACAGAGGGTTATAAGTGAAAACAAATGAGTCAAATAAGAAACATCATATTTGAGATATTTTTAGAAAAAATTTTAAGACAATAAAATTTTCGGTTGCATTGATGATAGATATTTCAATGCCTTGCTTGTTCTATACTGATGGACATATCATATATATTACGTAAGCGGTTGTCTTTACCTCAGACTGTCAAACAGAAAGGATAACTTACAAGGAACCAACCAATCAAGATTCTATTGTCGGATATACTCTGAGAAGAGCATTGAGTGATATCATGCCTGAGACAAACCTCTGAGATGGCATTACACAGCGGCATAGATAAGATCGTGTGTAGAGGAAAAAAAGCCTGCGAAAAAAACGTAAAACCAGCTAGAAATAATACTGTAGAGATATAGATTGAAATGACAATGTGCTCGTGGAGCCATCCATATATTCCTTGTGGGAGCCCAGGCGAATAAAATCATAAAATACATCAGGTAAACAAATTATCATTGTATCACCGTCAATGTTCGTTTTTACTCAGGAATGGCATACTTCCCAAGGGAAGAATATTTTAGATTAGTGGTAGTAATATATATTTATCTCGTTTTGGTTTTTTGGTGTGAGTAGATTTCAGTGTGTCAGTAAGGTCAATAATATGATAGCTATGCTAATCGATATGTATTTTCAAGATTTACTTTGTAGGCATTTGATTTGTCTCAAGTTTGTCCACCAATTGAAATCAGTTAGAGAACTGGACAACTGTTGTTTTTTCCTAGTGCTTGAGTCTTATTGCCATCAGAACGTTCCAGTCACAAGTCAAGGTAGTAGAACATTCCGCCACTGGGACTCGACTCAACAGCCAGTTTATGAATTCCAACTGCTTCTACCAATTCGGGATTTTAGCCTTACTGGCACGAACCAGTATCATCAGCGGTGAGTATCTGTTCTCACTCCCGACCGGATGGACCTCACTGGTCACGATTTCTGGCTGGCTAAAATCACGAACTGGTAGAAGTAGTGAGAGTTGATGGAATAGTTATAGAGTTGGGTCCCAATGACTGAATGGTATACGAGCTTGCCTTGTAACCTGAAGGTCCTCGGTTTAAACCCCAGCAGTTGAGTACTGTCGATGAATCCTAAACTAAGGAGAAACAGCTGGCCAATAGTGTAGTGCCCGTTTCCAATAGTTCTAAAAACTAATCGATACATCGCTACAGTTCTCATTATTTTGACGTCTTTACTGGACTAGATTTCCGACCTATCTAGTATTCAAGAATAATCATGTGTTGGGATCTAAAATGAACTTCATAACGAGGAGGAGTAAGAAGATGGACCTAAAGATATCTCAGCAACTTAGAGAATTAATTCTTTTTTGTTGAGCATACACCATGAACTGACATTTAACAGTGATAAGCTAACCAGCTATACTTATTGGCGGGAATGTTCAAATTCTGACCGACTCATTCCTGAACCTTATTTAGTTTACCTGTCGATAATATAGCTGGAATAAAAAAAGAAGACATTGGATGTATACCTACGAACCTCACTCTCCGTTAGGAAAAGAAAATAACACCACAACTGTGGAAACTTTCAGAGATCTTGAAACCCTATGTCCCACATGGAAAGCAAGGTATTGAGAAAAAAAATAGTGGTGAGCTGTCTGTTCTTAAATATCATGACATATAAAATATAAACCGTACCAATCCGTAGAATGCGAACGTACAACTGACCTTGAAGCGGTCATTCAGAAAAACCAGGAGTTTTTACATAACAACGACGTTTGTTTACAAGAGGGAATGAGGATAAAACACATGAAAAAGGATGCTTTTTTCTCTGACGTGACTTAATTGATTAATTCTGAATTATAATATGGAGTATCAGTGTTTTAGGTGGAACCAATTACTGTACATGTATTCTTTTATCAAGGTGACTGCAGATGAGTTCTTCCCCAAAAGCCCTTGATTGATTAAGTATGGATTCCAGTAAGGGGGTCGATAACTATCTACTAGAAAACTGCAAATTAAAAAAATAAAGCACTCTAACTTTAATCCTAATTTTACCCCTAAAGACCTATGAATACGTTATACAAACAGGACTTGAAAACCAGATCGCGATGCGATTTGCACCGCAATTCAATAGTAGTAGGTCCCGTTATCCAACCAAAAGTGCACGTTTAAAGTCATCTGTGGGTGCGTTCTGACTGCTGAATCGCTTTAGTTCAACTTGGCCATAGATTCCTGCCTCTTATAACCTAACTATCCTGGTTGGCCTTTAGACATCTGACAGACTCAAAAACACCGATGGGAATGGGATGTTCACAGTCGGCGTAAGACGGTGAAACCAGGTATAAGACACTACATTCATGAAAAAAAGATTCGATTAAATTTAGACACAATCTAGGTCTAGGTTCACCTGATTCGGATGACATTAGGCATGGTTAGGGATTAGCAAAACAAATTTCCTACTACTAAGTACAATTTCGCTTTTCAGGATAATCAGTACGTTCGCACCTCACAAATATTTGAAATATTAATTTCGTGATATGAATTTTAAAACCAAGTTGATGCTAAACGATAAACGGAGTAACGCCTATTTACAAATCGATTACTATTTCTAATGTTTTTTTCTTTCTCACTAACTGAAGTTGTACCAGGACAGCAGAATTTCTTATCAGATTTAAGAGGTTTTGAATGCCACAGTAGATTGGTCCAGCTGATGAATTCTGCGTTAGACCGATTTTATAAAGTAGTATTAAAAAGGTTGACAGACAGTTTCTGACTAAATAATTTTTTTTGGTATGTGAAATTTTGCAGTATCAGACCTGAATTTTAGCTTTAATTTAATAGTATGACACATCTCATTGTCAATATAAAACATAGGAGATAGATGGAACGAGTCAACAATCAATTTTCTCCTACTACAAAAATCAATGACACACCACACCAATAAATGAACCGTGCAGATGATTAAGTTAGGCATTTCAACCAATAGGCGTTGTAATGGGCGTTACCATGACATTCAGATTACCCATTTACAACCAATCAAAATCATGTATTTTGTAGCCTGAGTTGGACAACCAGCAAATCATAATGCGGAAACCATATGTAGGGAGGCCGACATTTGAGTTTAAGGGGGAGAGAGAGGGTGATAGGGTCAGATTGTCTGACCGACGAATTAAAACACAGAGAGACCTGGGTAGGATACATGTTGTGCTATGCCTGCCTTTTTGTATGTATTTATTCTATTAATTGTTATATCGGTCAATATGTATGTGCATATATGTGTATGCATGTGATTAAAATCTGTCTGACCACATGTGATTGGGACAGTCATTTTTGGCCTGTGAGAATCATTGTCCTGGTCAAAATTTTTTAGTGGGTGTCAGTTTTTAATCTGGGTCAGTCGAGGTGGTGAATTGATCTCAACTGCAGAACGCTCTATTGTTAGTCTTGTTGCAGCTCATCTCAGGAGACTATCAGATTGTTATTATTCTACACTTTGTGTTTATTATTATTTAAAGGAATAAATTTGTCTTCCTGAAAACATTCAAAAATCATGATGACAATGATGATGTTAGATCATTCTGCTGAACACCACAATGGCTTAAATCCTAAACCTGATCCTGATATTGGTATGCTATGCGAAACGAGACGATCAAATTCAAACATTTCAAAAGTTGTCAATAATAATGGTAGTACGAATGGTGACTACACAACACATCCCGCCTTTCATCATCAGCATAACTCTTCACCAACTTATCCCCCGTACTCATCAGTTGATCGACATTCTGCTCCACCATCGACAAACAAGTCTCTATCACGGCAAACAACTCCAAATGATTCCTGTAGTGAGAGTACATTACGTTTACACGGTAAGTCAATAGCCTTTATATATATTTATATATGCTATATCATTTCTGAGTATATAATTCCACTACTATGTTATGGATATTGCATCCTATTTAACCTACGTAATATTTTTTTTGATACTTTGACGTACGAAACACATTTACACTTGGCACTTACCATGGTTTTAAGCTAGCTGGCATTTCCTTTGTACGAAAACGGTGTGTGTTTCGGGTGTTGGATCTCGTAAACACGATCTACGCCACCCAGATGTGTTTGCTCGTTAGATGGCGGTAATCTATGTGGACGACTCAAGTGGTTATTTATGTTGCATATGGCTAGTAAAACCTGCTTATGTAAAGTTACTAGTTCGTTTATTGTGCTCTCCGTCCGTTGTTGTTCAAGTAATTATTCAGCGGTTTAGGGTTAAAGTATCACTTATTCTCAGCGCTGAATGCAGCATACATGTGACTGGAAGGTCAAAGGTTAAGTATGTATATTAATGAGTCTGGTTATGTCTTGTCTTTAAAATATGAGTAGTACATTTTTGTAAGCGTACATGAGATTATAGGTTTCTGCCTTCTGATCCGTTTGTGAAGGGATTTCCAAGCATTCACTGTGTTAACGGTCGTATTCTGATACAAGAATGTAAGCTAATTATAAATGACAAGTTTGTTCTCTTATCTGAAGTCAGCGAATTAGGCGTAATTTAATGGTGTGGCTGTGTTGATTCCTAAGTGCCTACGTCTCTTGATTGGTAGATTGTGTTTATTGTCCAACTCACTCAAAAGTGGGATGATTAGTTTGACAAAATTTCAGGATTCGACTTTCGTCACCGTCTATTACTTATGCTTGCAATTTATACCTCTGGCTAGTTTGTTTAGCCATCTTCTGGTTGTAATTAGTGGAAATGTCAACTACTGGGTGTAAAATGTTTGCCTTTTCAAACTAGGTGTGATTAGTGTTCAGGCTGATTCACATAGTCATGCGTCTATTTCTTCTCCGCCTACCTCTTTGGCTGGTCATTGGGAACCCAGCAAATGCACGGTTACCCTTGAAACCGCTTATTTTGGTGTTGTTTCAAACCTACATGCTATACAATATCAGTTTGCATAAATGAAGTGCCTTCCTATAATCAAAGCAGGTTTTTTCCATTGTTCCTAGTCTAGTAGTAATATTACTGTCTGTTTTCTTTGTTTTCAAACATTTTTCTTTTTCCCTGCAAATCGGTGCGATTTTCTTTCGTTTAATCTCATGACCGATGTGCATGTTTGATGAACTAGGCTAAAAGGGAGAGACAGAATATACATAGATTGAACAAGGATAACATTGTGTCTTTGTGCGTCATCGTCTCACATGTATACATATATATATGTATATATATATATATATATATATATATAGGAGGTTTCTTTGTTCTAAATTTTTTCTCTACCCCGACAAACATATAGAGTGCTGAATTATTGTCATCATCATCATCGTTATTATTGTAATTTTTCCATTTTGTTTGACTAAGTCTCGCATTATAATAAGGCAGCATGAGTCAAGCTCTCTCTCATGGGTTTTAGGTTTTTTTTATCGAATCCTCTACCCTCATCTTAATCCAACACAATGTTGTCTGTGTGCGTCCGTTCTATTATGTATGCGTGTGTATAGGTGTCTGCCTACAGACATATGTGTAGATGTGAAAAGGGAATTCATTTTGGTGTGCTTGAAAAATAATCAACCATTTATATTATATACCCAACCATCTCCTAACTTAGGTCGTTTCTTCACATCTGGCTGATTAATGTCAAAATGTGCAGAATGTGTTTTTGGAATACTAATATGAATTAAGATGAACAACCGAGATGTTTTTTGAAAAATAAATTGATCATCATGACTTGCAATGTTCAGTCTTGAAGAATACATATGAACGTTGTTCACAGGCTTTGTGCGTCTGTCTAAGGGCATACTCAACTTTCAACCTGAACACAGGCTCTCGTGTCCCAAGCGGTATAGTGGATAACGCTTTGGTAATTGAAACGATGAGTACTGGGTTCGAGTCTCAGTTGATGAGTCCCAAGCGGGACGAGACAGGCATCCTGATGGATTCTACTACTTGACCATCCACCGAATTGCTTCAAGTTAATCCCCAGACACTGTCGAAGCAACCGCACAAGGAGTTGACTGGAAAATCAAATTTGAATTAGAAGCAGGTAATTCTGCCACTATAAATTGAGTGAGATGGCGTTAGCAAACCCGGCGTTCATCTGTCACATTGAATCCCATAAAATTCTCTGTCAAACCATAGCGAAGAATGAGAATCAAATGAAATAGGTCTACTCCAAAAAAGTATCTGTATTTTGAGGAATCTTTATTATGCAAACACTGTAGAACAACATGTATCTTTCATCAGGAAAGCATGGTACATATTCACTACCTACATGTGTGTGTCGGTGGCACAGCGGTTAGGACGCTAGCCGACTATGCACATGGTTCGTGGTTCGATCACGAGGCGAAGCACTCCTTTATCTCGCTAAGCCAGTAATAAGACTGGTAAAGACGGGAGGTTGGGCATGAGGCCAGCAACCCCATCCCGTAAAAATAAACTCTGTTACAGAAACTTCAAGCCTATAGCTTGAAGCCCTATGTTCCGCTGGGAACGTGAAGGAATAAAAAAGAACTACACAGCAAAACTGAACAAGATTCGAATTGTCAGTGCTGATGTTTTAAGTCAATTCTTCTATGTGGTTGAAAGATTTTATATAGACGCGTCACCAAAATCATTTAGAACAGACTGCTTACTACACATTATCGTCAACAGCTGTCTTCGTTTGATACTGAAGATTAGATAGGTAAGCTGTGGGAAATTTTTTCAGTGAGCGAACCAAACCCCTACTTGTTACCCAATCCAAATCACAAGAGATGGACTGGACCTACTTTACGGAGACCTCCAGACAACAACATACTTTCGGCAAGCTCTTGTTTAGAACTTAACTAAGAAGCAGTGGTGTTGAGGTGTTCGAGAGTGATACAGTAGTGCTGTTATATTTTAGAGACGTATTCGGTCTACTTATTTACGAAACAAGAACAAGAAAATGGTAACATTACTTCAAAAGTTATACCTTTAAACTTCGATACTTGTTACTGGATGCTGGACTAACCAACATCTTGTGCAATCAGAACTACAAATTTCGGTTATTTTTGGCTGTCTCCACCTAGAACTCTACACGGAACTTCAAGTTGTCACACTCCCTTCTTGTAGCACGCAAAGGAAGAAAAAAGAGAATAGCAATGTATGCAAGAGACATTAGGGTTTGGTGGATATGGGATAACTTAAAGGGTGAATGCGTCTGCGCTATTCAGAGAAAGATATTTCGTACAGTCCCCAGCCCTTTGTGCTTAGCATCTCGAGGATACCAACCAGACAATCTGAACATCCCTATTGGCAGACTGAAACCAACTGTGAGAGACCGCCTGTACTGATGTCAGGTTTTGGCGTGACCACCCCTTACTCTTTTCCAGCCTAATCATATGTCAGCCAACATTGGTCGAGGAGGAAAACGGCGGTTCGGCATGCACAAACATGTGAGCCCTAACCACGAAACCCTATTTACTAACAGCATCTTTTCGTTCCAAGGGTTTAGATTTACATAATGTTCACTATATTCATTGCAATTGCTCTTATTTTAAAAATTGTTTACCTGTAGTATAACAGCGTCATAAATATTTTCATCGATTATCACCAGTTGTTTATTTTGTCTTTTCGATAGAGTGAGAGAGTGAAAATGAATTAGTTGAAACTTTTAGTTGTCTCGTATTGTTTATTTTCTTATATATGTTAAATGTTTTCATCTAACCGCCTTTATCCATCTCTGTATGTATCATCCATCTTATTCCCCATTATACTTCCTCTCTCTCTCCCCGTCTCAGGTCTCCATCTACTATTGGTCAACATATTATGAAAAGTACATTTCTAAGTTGTTTTCTTCATGTTCTAAGTTTGCACGTTGTTTATCTTCGTTCATTTCTGTTTGTGTGTATGTCTCGTTTCTCGTTGATTGTTTTCATCCCTGTTTAACTGTTTGTTGGTGTTCCCTTTCCGTTTTGCTTTTTTTGAAGAATGTGATATATAGTTGTTTATGTGTAAATGTCTACATTTGTCTACTCTAATGCTCTTGTTTGCCGGTGGGAGCTGTCTTTGTCAACCAAACTGTAGCTTATTTTTAATGTCTGTGAATAGAGTAGAGTATGTCTTTCAGTCAATAGTGGACAGATTCACGCTTATTTTGTCCATCTAGCTGACCTAGACTCTACACTGTTAAAACACAATTACCAGGGTCAGGTTTTCCATGTACCAGATTGTGAGCCACACTCATAGAACTATGCAGTTGCGGAAATTGTAGTCAATGGGACTTAACTTGAACCCCTGGGTTTTATACTTTGTTTGGCTATAAGAAGTTGTGGCTTACAAATTGCCCTTCTGTTGTTTAATCAATAAGTCAACCTTTAACCTCAGAATGCATTTTCATCTCTCTATCCGCTGTAAATCATACCAAAGGTGATCTGTCCAATTGTTATTAAAGTTCCTTTGTTATGGTAAACAATCGTTTTCATGTATCACTATTACTATTTTGCCGGCCTACGCCCTATCATCCAAATTTATTCTACTTTTGTCAATTTTGCAAATTTCATCAGTAATATTCTTATAGGGTATGTGTTGTGTAAGGCCAGTGACTACTGCGTACAGGCAACCAACATGGACAGTTTTTTTGTAAAGAGGATTTATGCGAAAAATTATCAAAACGCTTCGATCGAGCAACTAAACTCATTTTTGTGAAAGTTATTAGTATTAAACTAAGTAGCCTGATAGAAATTTGGTCAACGCCCTTAAACTGTCAGTGAAAAATTATTTATTATACTTTCGTTCTCTTAGCTGTTTACTGGCTTTGTATAGGGAATGTGTAAATATATGAGTTCGTGCTTTTTTTATTATTCACATTTGAGAGGTGAAATAGAATTACCTACCTACTAAAAACAACAC